CAAGGGCTTTGGCCCTTGAAGTAGACTTATTTGTTGAGTTTTGTTTTGTATTTAGTGACTTTATGATTGTTGTTTTTTTATTTTCCTTTTCCGATCAGAGGTGAACAGGAAAGAGTTTGTTTTTTAAAATAAACTTTTTAATATAAGAATTATATATAATATCTAAATTAGTAAAATTTTAATTTCTAAATTAGATAGATTTCATAGATAGAATCAGTTTATCATATATCTTGTGATTATCGATATTAGTAATATCTTAGGTTATATTCAAGTAATTACCAATATTAATCTTTATTAAATATATAATAAACTAATATACATATTTTTTTTCCTACTATTTACTCTTATTTATTGATTTAATCTGTAATTCTAATTTCAGAAATGATATATATATATTTTAAATCTTAGAATTAGAAGACATAATAGCCTATAGAAGTTCTGTATATATATTTGAAAAGAATACTGTAACTAAAGCTACTATTAGCTGTCAAGTATCAAATATAGTTTTAGGTAAATTAAAATAAATGCATTAATTTAAATTGTACTTAAATTATATTAATCCTGCCTTTTATATATAGATATAGGTAGGTCAGATTCTGTTGATAATGAAATCACAGAAACACTGCAGGCCTTAGAATACTTTCTTCAGAGACTATTAGAGTCTGAAGAAGAAGAGGATAAAGGTGAAAGTAAATAATAATCAAAAAAGAAAAAATAATATATATATCAATATATGCTTTCAAATATTTTTGTTTTGCTGTTATATTAAAGAACTTGTAAAATAAATATGAAGATAATAAAAGAAGAAAATATATATTACTATATGCTTTTATATATATCTTAATAACTTTAAAAGAGGTGTAACAACCTAGTAAAGTAGTCAGGTTGTCAACCTCTCAAGTAGTAGATTGGGTGTTCAAATCTTATTGACAGTAAAAATTTGGATAATTACCTATATAATATTCATATTATAGCAACTGTTACTAACAATTAGGTTAGGATACTTGTAATAGTAGTTGCATCAGCATGACTGGCAGGTCATAGAGCATCTGTGTAAGTATGGCATTACATAGAGGAATGCAAACTGACAAATTGGGTATTGCAAACATTAGATAAGTCCTTGTAGCCATGTAAATCCATTGAAATTAGATAATAAGAAGTTTATTTGGAAAAACCTGAATAAAAAGGTAGCTGAATCTTCAACAGCCTTACTGTAAAGGCTAGCTTGAAGTAACAAATATCAAGGTCATAGTACCCAGTTGTAGTAGCTGGACAGACAAAAACCTCTGAGTTGAGAATTTCAGAAATACCATCAACTAGGCCACTAGAACAAACCAGAAGAAAAGAATATCAGGCCAATCTGATATACTAATAAACTGGATGTAGTTCTATATAGGCTATCTAAATTGGAAGTTTGGTAAAAAGGCAGATAAAAAGGCAGAGATATACTAAAGTACCAGAATTATGCTATAAAGTAGATGCTGAGGTCTAAGTAAACTCTACAAGGGCATAGCAGTTTAATGGTTAGCCCTGATTGCAAATGTTAGTTCTATTATAACAATACCTGGGTTAGCTATAAAAATAGGTACAGAAGGCTCTAAGAGGCTTACTTTAAGAATAAATTAATACTAAGGTTGGGATGATGATCTGGGTATCTAGATATGACCCAGTTATATTAATACAGCTTACAGGTTCAGAGGGTTTAAAGTAGAACACCCAAGCAGAGATGTTAGGTATAGCAATTGGTAAAAAACCTTTGGATGGACTCCTTAAATAGATAATATAGAAAAGTTACTATGTAGCCAATTGTATGCTCTCCTGTAGTAGTTTATTAAACTACAATATCAATAAGTAATTAATAAAAGTCAAAAGACCAAAGAGGTCATCTTAATACTAAAAAAAAAATTAAAAATAATTTTAAATAAATATTCAGATAATAAAAGAAGAAAATATATTAATATAGACTTTTATATACTTTTATTTTGCTTTATTCTATAAAGTTGTTAGATGAATATTAGTAAAATGTATATCAATACATATATACTTTTATATATACTTATACTTTACTATGATTCTACTAACATGTAAGACAAATATTAGAATAATAAAAGAAAAAAAAAAAGTATATATTTTTTATATCTTTTGTATACTTATATCTTGCTTTGATGTTGACACTTATTTGTTTACTATTATTATTCTTTTTATCTTATCTTTTTATATATAACAGAAGAATAATAGAAAGCTAAAAGTATATTATTATATAGCCAATATTTACATTTAATCTTTCTATAATATAGATAACTATTAGTTTACTGATATATTATCCAATATGCATATTAGCTAACTAATAGGACTATATAGGTACATTCTATTATTTTACTATTATTCATATATTCAACCTATGAATCAGAATGTTATCACTAAGAATTTAGATTTAATATTAAGACTTTTATAATATATACAAGTATAGTTTTTTTCAAAATAATATATATTATAATTTTTTATTATAATAAATAAACTATTTTAATTTATATATTCTAAAAATTTAATAAAAGTTTGATATGTTTTTAAAAAATTTTATTAGTACTATATTTTTGCTTACTATTTAAATCTAAATTTATTATACAAATTATATAACAAATGATCTGCATATACTCTATCCTTAAAGCTACTAACTTTGGCAAATCTCAAATAATACTTGAAGACTATGTGCCCATTCTTTTCAATGCTAATTCTTTAGTTATAACAGAAACTGATCTAGAACCATCTCTTTCTGTCTCTTAATTTTGTAGCTTTCTGATAAAATTCAAAGGCTTTATATAAGCTTTTCTCAACTTTAATACCATACTAACACCTCTAGCCTAATTTATAATATTCTGTACAGTTTGACTTATTGTTTCAAAATAAAAGTTAAAAATAATAAAAATAATTCTTTATTTAATACTATATAACAATAACACAAGTTTATTATCTAATATAGCATTTTATATATTTGTTATATGTACTGCAATTACAGATTATATTTTTAATCTATTTAAACTGTTCAATATGTTCAAAATATGCAGATTTTTAAGAATTATCAGTCATTCTTATAGACTTTAGTATAATCCTTTTAATTGTTCTTTTTTTATATTAATATTATTAGACAATTATAAAAACTTATATAATTTTAAAAATTTTATCATCTTAATACTACCAGAAAACAAAGAAAAAAGTTGTATAAAGAAGCTTATAAATTAGTAAATATATGCAAAAGAATTGCTTACATATATTTAGTAAATAGATAGATAGTATAAAGTAGATTAATTAAAGAATCTACAAGATATAAGCAGAAACTTTACAGTTTTACAAACTCAAATAGTGCAAAGCTAACCAATTTAAACATTAAAACTAGAACTTTTACTACTAAAGGATTTGTATCTCTCAAATTAAACAATCTAATAAAGTTTATTTAAAGTTTAAAACATTCAAATTTTTTAATAAAAAACAGTTATTTATAGTGTATAATTGCAATTATATAATATATAAAACTCTTTGTGAAAAAAATTTTTATAATTTATTTATAGTATTAGGAGAATACTTACTATCTTAATATTAATAATCCTTTTAATATTATATATAAGAATTCTTAAATTATATTATATACTTAGAAAATTTTATACTGTATATAGTAATATTTATAAAGTATACATTTTTTATTATTTAATAAAAAACACAAAATGTTTTAAACATAAGAAAATAAAAAATGTTTTTTGCCATCTTTACACTAAAATAATGCTATAATTAGATAATATGTATAGCATAAATTAATTTTTTTAATAAATTAAAAATAGTTCTTGTAATTTTATTTTTAGTTTTTATATTTGACAAAAAAAAACTATACTATTTGTTTTGTAATGCATTTATTATACTTGCTAGTTTAAAATATATATTTCATACTGTAAAGACATAAATTTACTATAAATTTTAAGCTTTACATTATTTCAATATACAAATTATTTTCAAAAGTAAAATAGGTTATTTAAAACATTTTAAAGTTTTTGTAAAAATTGCATATTTTATTAACAGAATTTTATAAAAAATAAAATTTTAAAATGTAATTATATGTAAAATTTTATGCTAAACATGTTTGAAAATAAAATAAACTATCTTTTTTATTGTTCTTAATGTACATTGTTAAAAGTTGATCCCTACAAACTACATTTAGAAAGATCTGATTGTACTGGCTAAACTTGTGTCAAAAATATGGCATCTTAAGGTACAATTACCTGTATTCTAATTACATATTCAAGGTTTTCAAATTATGAAATTAGAAATATTATTTGCACAAAAGTTTACATATATTTAATATTTAATGCTGCTAATTACTAACATTATTAGCATTTCCAGATTTATAAGCCACCAAAACTAATGTACTTCAGATTAAGAAACTCATCAATGCCATGTTTGGAACCTAAATATTAAAAATTTAAACGATGATTTAGTATGTGCACTAATTAGGATGCAGATAATTATATTACCTTCGCGTCCAAAGCCTGATTCTTTAACCTAGTTTGCGAAGTTAAGCAATAAAATAAGCATCAGGCAGGTAAAAAATTACAGAAATCACTGCGCAGAACAATACTTACTCCACCGAAGGGTGCTTCGCAGGTGCTAATTATTCCTGTATTAACACCAACCATTCCCACTTCCAAAGCGTCTGCTACTTTCCAACATCTGCCAACATCTCTACTATAGAAATAACCAGCCAAACCAACATGACTATTATTCGCTAACTTTATAACCTCTTCATCTTTATCAAATTTGTACAACGCAGCTACTGGGCCAAATGTCTCTTCATTTGTAATGATCATATCTGCGGACATTCCTGTTAAAACGGTTGGATCAAAGAAATTTCCATCACGTCGGACACCACCCACAAGAATTTCGGCACCTTTTGCAACAGCATCTTCTATATGACGTGTAACCTTGTCAACTGCTTTTGAGTTGATCAATGGTCCATGAGTGGTTTGAGGGTCAAATCCACTACCGACTTTGAATCCGCTTACTTTATCCGCAAGCAGCGATGCAAATTCAGCATATATAGAAGACTGTACATAAATGCGATTGGCACAGACACAAGTTTGGCCAGAAGCGCGAAACTTTGAAGCAATTAAACCTGTACCAAAATATTTCGTTGTCTTTATATAAATCTTAAACGTTAACGTTATAAGGATAAAAATTTGAATAAAATACAGAATCAAACCTTCAACAGCTGCTTCTACATTTGCATCGTCAAACGCTATAAATGGAGCATTACCACCAAGTTCCAATGAAATTTTCTTCAGCGTGCTAGAGCTTTGCTGCATTAATAATTTACCGACATTTGTCTATCGATTTTGACCAAGCACATGAATCAATTTTTATAGATTAGCAGTACAAGAAATTTCACACTAAATAGAAATAGATTTAGTACCGATCCAGTAAAAGATATTTTCTTCACATCGGGATTTGTCTAACAAATAATATAACAACAATTAAATGTCTTTTTTATCGTGTAAACAAGTCTTTCTGGATTTTAAAATACCGTCAATTCTAATCCGACTTCTGCGTGTTGTTCCGTTGTTATCACATTAATCACACCCTTGGGAAATCCAGCTCTAACTGCTAATTCTGCTAATGCGAGTGCTGAAAATGGTGTATCATGACTAGGCTTTATCACAACAGTACATCCAGCAGCTAACGCAGCTCCTAATTTACGCGTAATCATTGCATTTGGAAAATTCCAAGGTGTTATGATTCCTGCAACACCAACTGGTTGTTTCTGAACTATAATCTTAGAATTTTTTATTGGAGATGGTATTACATCTCCGTAGACACGTCTAGCCTCTTCAGCAAACCACTCAATAAAACTTGCACCGTATTTTATTTCACCTAAAGCTTCATTAATTGGTTTACCATTTTCAAGAGTAAGGATAATAGCCAGATCTTGTTGATTATCTATAATAAGTGTATACCATTTTTGAAGTAGATCATGGCGATACTAATAAAATATAGTAATAAAAAAATATCATAAATTCAATTAAAATTACTATTGGGTCACGCAAATTTTTAATTGATTAATAACCCGACCAAGTAAAATTTTGGAAAGTTTTCTATGCTTTAATAGCCGGGTGGGTTAAAAAAGATTATAAAATTTTTATATAAGAAATTTTTTTTTAAATAAAACCGCCGGTCGGTCGGGGCTGCTTAGAAGTCTTGTGTTATGAATCAAGACATTAAATTTGTATGGCCTTTTGTTTTTTTTTTGTTAATTTAATTAATGCCTTGCGAATTTGATTCCGTTCCAGACACGATTAAGGATTATTAGGAATTGTAATCGGTTTAGTCGACTAAAAAATATGTATAGTAAATTACTATGCTTAATCGACTAAACCGATTTCAATTCCTAGACATAATTAAGCAAATTGTTATTTGAAAAAAACCTTGGCAGTTTGGTTCGCCCAATTATTAAACGATTCTTTGGCAGCTTTAATTGCTTCTTTCGTGTCTTCCACATTCATTTCAGGAACTTTCCCAATTTCTTTATTAGTAGCAGGGTCTAATCATGCGATAATATTTTCAGATTCTCTCAGAATCAATTTTTTATAAAATAAAGATTAATACATATATACCTAATACTGAATATGTGTTTCCTGATTTTGCTTTAACCCATTCACCATTAATAAAAGCATTTTGACGAAGTAATAATGAATCTTTAAGCTATACGAAGGTTATTTAACGTGATAATCATTAAAATGTATATTTAAAAGTTATTTATTTGAAAAAGTCGGCGTTCGAATTCGAAGCAAACCTTTGGGACTTCAACTTGAGTTGCAAAAGATTTATTCATTTTCGAATAAAAAAAGATATTTAATCCTTTATTGACAGCTTTACCACGGTAAATGTGTCGCGAAAAAATTCTCGTAAAGGGGTTTGAAGTGACTTTCAGAAAAATCATCTGTTTAATCGTGTGAAAATCTTGATCGTAACAAAAATATGTAATTTTTATACATAAATAGCTAGCTACACAAAATTAAGGTCACCGCTTTCTGCGACTGACCCCAAAATTTGCTCGCGTTGCTAATTTATTAGTGCTATGGTGCTGGAAGACTATATTAGATAATAAAAATAGTATAACTTTAAAATGCATCAACACTTTAAAGAGCAATATTTTTAGCAATTTTGTAGAACAAAGTTACCGGTTAGGTTTTTAAAATTTTGCTTTTATAAAAAATTATAGCATTTTAAAGATCGTTCAAATTATGATAAACTAAATAGTAATCTTTAAAACGCAACAACTTTTTATACAGGTTTTGGTAAATTTATGAAACTAATATTGCCTTATAAAGTTATGGTCTTGTATAAAAGGTACAGTAATAAAAATATGCCTAAGGGAGTTGGGGTATTGTGGTCAACTTCAATATTTCAAGATCTAGTGATTAAATTTTTCTAATTCATCAATGATGATTATTAGATTATAAGATATAGAAAATATAAAATTTCACGCATATTTAAACCTACTATTAAATATATACCGTTTGCCACTGCATACAGTAGGTGGGTCGTATGCAAAAACATCATTTTTTTAAATTGAAAGTACCCGTAAAGAAGTACAAAACCACATGATTTTTTTACAATAAATAATGTGTTTATTACCTCATTTCTATTTTTTTAAATTGAAAAACTGTCACTAAGTAAAGTATACCTAGGAAAAGTAAATTTCAAAGATACCCAAGATACTTAAAGATTTATTTAGAAAGAGTTTTTGTATTATTATAAATAACAGTTATATTATTTTTTTTAAAAACATTTTCTATGTTGAGATGTAAAAGTACTCTAAACTGTATAAATTCAATTGTACAAAATTAACTAATCACAAAAAGGTTATTTTATACATAGATTTAAAATAGAGTTTTAAAAATAATATTTTATTAAGAATTTTGTTATTTTGTACATATGCATTATAATGCATTCATAATATTGGATGTAATATAAAAACAAAACAAACTAATTAATATATTAATTTAAAGTAAGGTCTAAAGTTAAAATAGGTCAGGATTAAATAATAATATAAGTTATTTTTATAGCAAAATTTTGCAAAAAAATATTTTTTATTAGAATATAAAAAGTAATTTTATAAGCAAAATTATAAACTACATGTAATTTTTAGAAAATTAGTATTTTTTTGATTTTATATTACATTTGATTTTATAATTTTTTTTATTAATTAAATAAATGTATTACAACATATATATATGTATAAACCTTTTATTAATATTTGAGTTAAAGTATTTTGAATAAAATGAATTAGAACTTATAAATAGTAGTAAAATTACTTTTAATATATTTATTTTTTTGTATTTTTGTTATTTAAATCAAAATTATATTTAATTGATTAAGTTTTATAAAAATTCACATATTTTAAAATTATAAAAAAATTTAATTTATAAATAATATGTAAAATAAAAATAATGTTCAATCTATTTTAATATAAAAAAAGTTTTAATACATTTTATAGATAATGTTAACTTTGGTTTAAATTATAATTTTAATTAACAAATGCATTTATCTAGCTTTAACTATGGTAAAATATAAAATAGTAATTATAACAATAATTATTAATCTATATATTTAAAGTTTAATAGCATTAAAGTATAGGTTAAATTTTTTTCTAATTAGTATTAAAGTTTGTTAGTATATTAAAATAAAATTAAATTACAGTTTTTATATTTTATATTCAAAATAATATTTATAGTTTGAATTAATATTACTGTTTTAACTATTATAAATAAAAAAATAAAATTAACTAATTATTAAATTTTTGAAATTAAAATATAATTGAATAAGAAGAATAAATTAAGATTAATATTAAATAAACTAAAACAAACAATTATATATATTATTAATAAGTTTGTACATAAAATATATATTATAATATTAAATATAATATATATATATAGAAAAATAGTAACAAAATCAAATTTACTTATTAATAATCATTTCTTTAAAACATTATTAATTTGATTTTTTAAAATTATATTATACTTAATCTGTTTTAAAAATAATATAAATTTTATTCTATTTAATAGAAAAGATCAGTTTTTAATTTATAGTCAGATTGTGCTAGATATCTGTTTAATAATATTTTATTCTTATTCTAGTAATATAAATTATTTTTTATAAATATATTATTAAATATAACATATTTTTTTATATTTATTTTTTATTTTTTTATAAAAATTAAATAAGAGCATATTATTGTTATAAATATAAAATGATATTAATTTTTTTTATTATTTAGTAATTAAAGTTTATTAAACTATATTTTTATTTTTTTACCAAACTGATATATAAATTTAGTTTGTTAATATTATTTTTTTATAGATAATATATTAAAAATAATATATAATTAAACTAATATATTATTTTATAAACAATAAAAATTTTATATTTATATATTTTAAATCTATTTTGTTCAAATTTTATAAAAAAAAATAAAAATTCCAAGTTATTATTATTGCTTACAATTGTAGCAAAGTTTGATCTTACTATATTATAACTAGTATTATTTAAAACTAATATTGAAGCTTTTAAATAAAAGAAAACTTCAATTTATACAGCTTAAAAGCTATAAAAAAATTTTTAATCACAATTTAGCTTTTATAAGATTTTTAAAAAAAATATTTTTAAAACTACAAACTAATATAATTAAATATAAAATTATTATTATTATTGTTAATAATAAAGTTAAAACATTTATATTATAATAATTGCTTAAATAATTTAAAAATAAAAAATAAAAGATCGCAGTTATATTATAATTACTTATATCAAATTTGTTTTGATATCTAAGTAATTGCAATATTATAACAATAAATCAAAGCTTATATTAGAATATTTTTTGAAAACATTACTAAAAGATTAAGTATAATTTATAAAATTAAAATATTAATTATTTAAAAAAATTATTTTCTATTTAGTATTTATAAAAATTTTAATATAAACTACTAATTATCTTAATATTATTAACAATATTAAATATACTATAAATTTTTATTACTATAGTATAATTGCAAATTTAAAAGCATCTTATTTAATAACTATATTGTATTCTAAAATAAAATATTTTTTTTGTTTATAATTTACATTATAGTCATCAGATTTATATTCAACTCTTCTCGATGATCACTTGTACCGAATTTCACACCAACAAAACAGAAAACTTATTGAAAAAAGTAGAAGAGACTACTATATAAATAATGGTTTTTATAAAGGTCAAAGTGGTTCTTCTGCACCGGACTTCTTTATATATTTAGCAAGCAAACTAAAAGCATACATATACAAGATAACTGGTAGGAGGCGCCCTTGTATAACAAATT